TCATACCGACAGAATCTGACAGATATCAAGGATATTCAATGATTGTCAATGATGTTCAATGATTTTTAATGATGTCAATCACTTCTGATGATAACGCTGTTGTTTGAGGGTGACCCTCCATGCATCCAATGCATCCTGGACTGTGGGTCCTTCGTCTGGAAAGCATATGACTCCTTCTGGCCTAATTCCAGGGACAATTGGCCACTTCTTTCTGCAAGTCTCATCAAGTGTCGAGATGTTTCGAGATGGTTAGAGTTTCTGGTGCCTTCTGAAAAAATGCAAACTAGAAAGACGAGAAAGCGCATGAAGCTGGCTAAGTTGGTGGAACATTTTGTCATATTATTTCTAGCAAATCCAAGCCCTTCCATTTTCTTTGCTGTCACTACAGTCTGATTTATCAGAACTGCTTTGGGGTACTTTTCTGTGGTTACATGAGAAAATTCAGTATGTTGCAACAATCTCAGCTTGGAAATCGCAGATAAATTCAGCAGTAATGGAAGCAAAACTTGCAAGCCAATCGGAAAATGACAAGAAGAAAAGGTGAAATCTTTGATTCTCTGAGCTCTCCAATAAGTACATATTCTATAATATATATACGTATATATATATAATTATATATGTACATGATATACAGTATGTATACCGTGTAGATTTATATGAACAGTAGCAGCTCCATAAGGCTTCGGATCAAGTCCGAAAGATTTGCTGGCACAGCTCAGGTTGCAGCGTCGTTGAGCCTGGAAACCATGCAAAATAATCAAAATGGCAATCTGAGAAGATTCACTGAAACAATGTCGACTCAATTTTGCGAAACGATTCCGAAACATTTTTGGTATCTGTAATAGTTAAAGCTGTTAAAGCTGTGGTCATCATCTCAAGAACGAAATTTTGAAGGTCTGTGGCTTCCACCTTGGCTCATCTCGTTCGAATCCTAGGCACAATGGTGACTGGAAAAACTGGAACACCTTGAAAATCTGGACACAACTGAGAAGATACGAACAAAAAATATGGAAAAATATGAAGCAAGATATGAATATGTCTGATTTCAACATAAGCAAATCTTCTGTTCAGCATATTTTAACACTCCGCCGGGCAAAACTTCAGGATGGATACGGCTTTGCTGTTTTTGCAGCTTGCAAATTAGGGAACTGCCAGTTTGAAGAAGCCTTGGAAGTCTGCAGCTTCTTGGAGGTGTTTTTCTGGACATATTTATGTCCTGTGATTTTTGTTGCCCTTGGAATTTTTAAATTGTTTAAAGTGTTAAATGTTCCGCCTGAGGCGTCCTGAGGCACCAGGCACTTCTCAAGTTCTTGCTGTTTGAAATCAGCGCTTCGTGCCTGAGTTTAATACATGAAAACAGAACGAAAACGAGCAAAGGACACAATCTGACAGTGAACCCAATAAGGATCCAATTTTCTCTCGGAATTCGGGATACAAAACGACTTTAAATTTAGACGGGGAGGAAACAGAAAGAGTTGGAAGAAACAAAGACTCTGACATGCAGACGTGTGGAGTACCAAATATTCCAGAAGCTGAATCCTTTTACATCCTTTTACTATGTTGAAGAGACTATCGGCTCTGTGATGAACTCCTACAGGCAAAGGCAAATGACACAGGCATAAATGATCATAAATGCATGGTAGCTCTTGGCTGTCCCACCATGCCCGCCACAAATTCCCGGATCCAAATCCCCGGTTGCCTCTCTTCGGAATCAGCGCAAATCGCCTGACCATCCGCTTCCCAAGAATTTTGACTTTGCAATTTGACAAACTAAAAAGGATACTAGAGAGATGAATCTTCTTTGAATTTGATTGGAACTTATTGAATAGGTACGATAGTGCGTATAATATATTATGTTATATAATATAGGGAGATCTAAAAATTGAATTATATGATACGTTAAGCTATACAATATATTAAGCTGTATGACAAACTAAACTATATAAGGTATACATAGGTTATAAGTATGTGCGATTATATGATACATTTAGTTATATTATACATATAATTACATAACGTAGTCGGAAATAGTGTTATTAATTTATATAATATATTAAGCTGTACAAGATATTGAGCTGTATAATATATGAAGTCATGCAAAATGTTCAAGTATACAATATATTGTGGTATCATATATTATAGTAAGTTATAAAAATGTATTGAGTTACTTAATGCAAACAATCATATAGTTTAATACATTAAAATATGTTCTTAACTCATATAGCATAGTAAGTTATATAATATATCAGGCTATATACATACATGTATATATATACTAAACAGTTTATCATGTTTCTTGTGTAAAGAAATATCTGTGTTTTTTCCTGCCCTCTAGCCTCATCTGCAAGAGCTGTGGACTGACCAAACACGAAGCCTCATCTTTTCAAAGCCGAAACGAGAGAAACGAAAGACATTGACTCCATTTAATAGTCTCTATCTATCTATCCATCCATCTATATAATATATATCTACTTATTTACCTAATCCAAAGATATCCGAAGTCCACCAGGAGCCATAAGGAAGCGACTACAAAGGATCTGCACTCCAAAACGTCGCTGCGGCAACACAGAGTCGGAATTCATGTCACTTTCTGCTAGAACATCTAGAATCATAGGTGATTGCAAGCCTTCGGTTACATTTTACAATGAGCTTAATGAGCGTAATAAAAATGCATGCAGCAATGCTCTCACTTTTCCGGGTTTTGAGCCAATCTGAACGAAAGGCCGAGAGGCTGTCTGGGTCTTCTGGTCTTTCGGAGCGAGTTTCCCCAGCTAGTCCTGAGTCTCAAGAAGAATCAATGTTATTCAATGTTCACATATGTTCACACATGTTCACGTGAACATCAAAGTTCAGCTGCGCGAACCGTTTCATTTAGATTCCATTCTTTTTCACTTAGCTGTGACGTGAGGTGTAACCATGAAATGTTTCAAGTTTCAAGATTGTACGCTTTGATGATCAATTTTGCTGTACTCGAAAGGAAACTGAAAGAAAATAACTAGGATAAATCGAAGGCCGCTCTCCAACACCGTAGCATGTTTTCTTTCTTCACAGAGATTGTGAACATTTGCCATGGCAATATGTAATTAAAATCAATTGCCAACATGGCAGTTGTTGTCTCATGTTTGCTTTACTGAGGTACAGTAGATCCAGCACCCAAGCACCCCTGAGATGATTGAGATGTGCATGGTGACTATAGATGTTCAGAGATCTCCCTGTGTCTATGCACAACCAGCTGCGCCCTGTTCTGGTGTGCAGAAAAGGCACCACGATCGCGAGCCTTTGTAAAGTTTGTCCTTGATCCAGGTTTGACTTTTTTGCAACACTCAAATTGGACAAAATGCATCAAATTTACACACAGGCTTGGCGGCTTCACTTGACTTGACAAGACTTGAGGATGGACTTCAGACTTTCCCGAGCCCCAAGGGGAGAGGATCAGTCTTCCTTGGATTCTAAGTGAGGGGGGCGGCGTTGGGGAAGAATGTGGACAGATGTGAAAAGCATTGGTCGCAGCATGTTTCTTCCAAAATGTTTTCTTCAATGTCATATATGCAATTACATTGCAACTACAATATCTTTACTTGTCATGTTGCCCTCTACTTCGTTCATGCAACGGCTTTGCTCTGTCCAACTGTTCCTCTCCGTCCTTGGCCTTTGGCAGCAGAGGAGCTCTAAGGCTTTCCACATAGCGTTGCCTCACAATGTTGTCAAAGAAATTTCGTTGTCATAAAGTTGTCATAAAGAAAGTAATGAAGCGTGAATTTATATGAATGAATAAAGTAATGAATTTCATGAAACGCTGTGAATCTATGTGATGGTTGATCAAAATTCCTTTATCCGCAAACGGCCATTCTTCGCGAATAAAAATGTTGCTTTTGCGAAACTTTCGTGAACTCCACGTTTATCTTTCGCGGGGCCCATGTTGGGCAACTCGAAAAAAAAAACTTTCGCGAGGGTTCCCAACATAACATGAACGGTCTTGCAATTAAAACTCTTTACAAGGACCTTTAGATCGATCACCATGTGAATCTATATGAATTTCATGCAATGAACGTTCTTTTCTACGTCAACATAGCCGTGGCGAAGTGAAGATGACCAGGGAAGACAAATCTCGTAGACATGTCGTAGACACGTGGTAGACACTTAGGGTGGTGATTCAAGCTGTAGCCAAAGCTGGGCCAAGTTGGTTACGGCTAAATTAGAAATGGTTACAATATGTTACAATATGCTAACTTGTACATGTAACCAATATTGGTCTTGGTAATACACCATGTTTCAAGTTTCAACTAAAGTTTCTCACTGATTCTCATTGCGAAGCGTCAGTAGATGTTTCAACTGTTTCTACTGAGCACTTCGCTTTTCCAGGTCGGAGCTGGAAGCGAAAGGACGACAAATCGGTGACGGTGGAGATGGATTGCGGGTTCAGACCGTTGAGACTGTACCATTGAGACTGTTCAATATGTTCAATATGTTCAATGGCCTATGCCGATGCCATGCGTTTGGTGCTTGAGTAACTTGAGTTGTCGATGTTCTCCTGTGATGCGCTCCTGTTACAATGGAGCTACACCATGAGCCAAGCAATGCCAAGCAAAGCAGATTTTTCTGCAAGTCTGACACCAATATCCTGTGTCGTTTTAGGATGCCTATTTTAAGTGAGACGATGTTCACAGGAAGCCTACAAGCCTGCAAAGAAAGGATAAGGGCTTGGAAGAGACAAGCATTAGCACAAGGAGTCAGCAAGAAAGTATGAAGAATAAAGTTGTCAAAATTGTCAAGCTTCAATGAATGGTCGCCCTATATGGATCTACCTGGTATCCCAGCTGCACCTACCGATTTTGAAGTAGCACAGCTAAGACTGGTACACGGGCACACCGTGGGCCAAGCGTCTGCATACACATGACTGTGGAAAAAACCGGCAATGGATACAAGATGATGCGAGAACATCAAACAATGTAACAATTTTCAGAAACAGAGAATATTGTGACGCTTTATAAAACAGATTGTGCAAGAGTTGCCTTCAGCCACTTGTAGCAGACGGAACACGTTACTGTCAACGCACATGGCAATTAAAATTGTGGTCCTCAGAACATATGGACAATTATCACAGACCCTGGTAGGGTCTGCACAGCGGTCACAGGTCACGCCGCTTCTGCTCACTGAGCAACTTTGGGATCAAAGAACCAGCGTTCAGTTCTGTCATGGTGCCTAGCAGGAAATTGACGGAAAATCTGTTTGCAAATAGTGCAATTTCCATCATCGGACTCATCAGACAAGAAAAACAGAAAGCAACCTCTTTTCAGAACCCACTCTCCCAAGTTTGGTTTGCTTCTGAAGGCTTCGCGCACGCCCTTTGCTAAGAGTCAAACCACCAAACACCCAAGTCAGAATCATACTGGCTCCAACCTACATCAGCTCATGCTGCAATGTCATGATCGCTTCAATACAAGAGTCGCATACAAGCAAACAATATCTCTGTTTACCTTGCAGGCTAAAACGGCAAACTGAAAATACTGAGAGAAACAGCAAAGCACCTAAATTGGGAATGTTTCCAGTGAGAAAATTGGCAAGTCATTCAGCCAAAGCACCATGCTCACCGGCGCGATCTTCGAAAAAATATTCACCTGTGTCCTAAGGTTGGCAACGATCTGAACCAAGTCAGAGTCAAAGATTCGGGAACTGGATTTTCCAAAATGGCAGAGATTTCAGACAAAAAGTCTTGACAACATTTGACAACCCAGATTCTGTGTGGTGTAGCCACCGTTTCCCACTCTGTGGGTCAATGAACTTCTGCCAGTTCTCTCCCTGCATCAAACTGGCAAGGTCCAATCATTCATGCAAGTACAAACCGCTTGAGCATGTGTTAGCGATACTGGCTGCAAGTTTCTTTGCAATGCAAACATGTGTTCAGGCAGCTTCTGCAAGTATGTGGTATCTTTCGGTGTGATTACAACCGCACGCCGCAGGACACTCAAACACAGGACTGCCGACTAATCCATACAATTGCCAGGACAAAACAGTGGGACAGGAGCAAAGGTGGTGATCATCGTGTTGACGAATGATGACCACCACCGCCACCGCGACGCAGGTGACAGAGAGGAAAGAGAAGTGTTCAAACAAATGATTCACCAGCAACAGACCCAGACCAAAATATGCCCTTTTTGACTGCTGAAAGGGGAAAACTTGGGTAGCTGCGATACCTTTCCCTACCAGCACTGGATTGTCAGGTTCGAATGAATCTGACCAAATGAAGAAGTCTCCAGCAAGTCATCGATAGAAAAAGATTGAGATACCGTCAGAAAACCGTACTTCTATGTGAGGGTGTTGGTGCACATGTGCATATGTACACGTGCCCATGTCTGCCTGCCCATTTGTGTACAACGTATGTGTGTTTGTGCTGATATGAGTCTGCATGCAAATGTTTGTACATGTACGCAAGATTACGCAAGTAGCATGTACATCTAGATGCGTGCGTGCGAGTCCACACAAACGTATATGATCATATATGAGCAGCTTGAGGCCAATACTGTACCTTGCTAAGTAAGGCAAGAGGGACTTCAGCTAGCAGAAGCTAGCTTCCCTGATAATGTGTATGTGTGTATGTTGTACATGTCGTGTATATGGCGGCCGGAAGAATTGAAATGTCAAGAATGCAAAACATTGTGATTGTGAAGGATCGGTTGCAAAGACTTGAACTTCCCTTGCCTTATTCCTGGGCGTGGAGATGTCGAAAGACTCAACACCTGAAGGGTGAGTTGACAGCGGCGAGCACTGGAAAGTGAAAAGGTGGAAACGCAATGAGCATCTCTCAGCGCTGGTCAGCTAAGTCAGCTAAGGATATCGCCTGGGCTTGACGAGGCTGAGGTTTCAGGGGTCTTCGAGGTCTTCGAAGTCTCCATGTCAATTCGTCTGTGCCACGCTCCGTTCGTCCCATGCGTCGCGTTCGCTCCGTTCGTTCCGTTCGTTCCGTTCGTTCCGTTGGTCCCGTGACTGGAGCTTCGTTCCGTCTTTGGATCTTTCGTGGCCTCGCCGGCCTCGGCCTCGGCCTGCTGGGTCTGCTGAGTCGATGGCTTCGTCTCTGTCGATGGCTTCGTCTCGGAATCCGCTTTCGACGGCGACGGGTTCGGCGCAGCAGGGCCGGCACCGGAGGCACCGGCGTCGGCACTTGTGGCAGTGGCGTCGTCGCTGGTCTTCTTTTCATACCTGGCAGAAGCAATGCAATGTGCTACAAGAGAAGTTTTTCGTTCAGCGTGAAGCATCTGAATTCTTCGCAATTCATGTTAATAACGAATTTATTCTTTCACATCATTCTTTGATTCGTGTCTTCTGATTTTTCTCTGATTTTTTCGTGTCCTGCCATGGCCTCTGCCAACCTCCCCAAGGATCTCCATTTTTCATCCAGGGATCTTCTCCTCAGAAAGGGTCTTGGGATGTCTTGGGAATGGGAATCCAGAGATTGAAGAAACTCAACTCGCTCAACTCGACTTTTTTGACTCGACTTTGTGCTTGGTCAAACTTTGGTCAAACTTTGGTCAAACTTTGGTCAAACTATGGTCAAACTATGCTCAAACTATGCTCAAACTATGCTCAACTACCTGTTGTATCTGTTTACCTGTATGCATCTGTATACCTGTCATCTTGGGGATGCGGCCACTCTGACTCTGCCAGTTGTACCTGCGCAACTGAAATCACTATCACAACGAACTGCTTCAGGCATGCGACCAGATATCCATGCCATACCATTGTCAGTTGACTTGGAATTGGTTCATCTTCTCATCCCCGAGGATCAGAAACAGTTTGTATATTTGTTTTTAAATTTGATAGCATGTTCCGAGTCTGGAGTCCAGAATGTCCGAGATGCTTTTGCAAGGCTGATTCCAAGATTGAGGCATCTGTGAGTTTCACAACTTGGGAAAATCTGGAAAAAAATGGACTGGAAGCACGAAGTGCTCCAAAATATCGTCCTTGAGAAAAGAAAGTGTGCATAATTGTTTGGGGATGTTTTTTCAGGTCAGTTTGTTTTTTTGCTCGGATTCATGTTTGCTTTACATTTGCAGCATGTGGCAGCTAAAACCTAGCGTTTTACATGGCACGATTTTGGAGCTAAAATGTGCCAAAGCACCTAAGGTTTTCACGATGTTTTAATTTTGCGCGGTATTTGCAACATTTTGGCAGCTAGAGCATTCGAAATCGCATGGTATTTGCAGCACTTCGGGGCTAGAGGCTACCAACCTGGAAATCGCATGATTTTGGAATCAAAATTTGCCAACTTACCCGAGGATTTCATCAAAATTTGGGAGCTAGAGCATGTCAAATTGCGTGGCATTTGCAGCACCTACGGTTGTTGTTGAGTTGTTGCTGAGTTGTTCTTGGTTTGTTGTTTATTTGTTGTTGGTCTGTTTCTTGTTTCTCCTTGGTTTGTTGTTGATGTGTTGTTGATTTGTTGTTGTTGTGTTATTTATTTGTTGTTGGTTTGTCGTTACTTTGTTCTTGGTTTGTTGATGGTTTGTTGTTTTTTTGTGTTGTTGATTTGTATGTGTATTTGTATTTGTTGTTGTTGTTGTTGTTGGTTGTTGTTGGTTGTTGTTGGTTGTTGTTGGTTGTTGTTGGTTGTTGTTGGTTGTTGTTGGTTGTTGTTTGGTTGGTTGTTGTTGGTTGTTGTTGTTGTTGTTGTTGTTGGTTGTTGTTGGTTGTTGTTGGTTGTTGTTGGTTGTTGTTGGTTGTTGTTGGTTGTTGTTGGTTGTTGTTGGTTGTTGTTGGTTGTTGTTGGTTGTTGTTGGTTGTTGTTGGTTGTTGTTGGTTGTTGTTGGTTGGTGTTGGTTGTTGTTGGTTGTTGTTGGTTGTTGTTGGTTGTTGTTGGTTGTTGTTGGTTGTTGTTGGTTGTTGTTGGTTGTTGTTGGTTGTTGTTGGTTGTTGTTGTCGTCGTCGTCGTCGTCGTCGTGGTCGTGGTTGTTGTTGTTGTTGTTGTTGTTGTTGTTGTTGTTGTTGTTGTTGTTGTTGTTTTGGTATTCTTGGGATCTGTTTAGGGTTGGCTTAGGGTTTAGGCTTTATGAAGAGTTGGCTTAAAACCTATTTGGTGTTGCTTTATTGTTGGTTGGCCTTGACTTTATTTAAGGGTTAGTTGGTGTTCTTAAGGATGTGCTTAGGGTTTATTAAAGGTTGGCTTGTGCTTAAGGTTTATTTGGGGCTGGTTGAAGGTTTACTCAAGGCTAAATAGTTGAGGAATGCTGAGGATCTATTTAGGGTTGATTTAAAGTCTATTTAGGGCGAGCTTAAGGTCTATTTTAAGTGTGGTTGAGGTTAGAAAAAAAAAACAAAGAATCAACCAAACACAACAGCAGAGAAACAAAAAAGCAGATAATCAAAAGTGCCAAAGAACAAACAAGCAGAGAAGAAGCAAAAAAGATAAATGTCAGTGTCTCTCCTTCTTTGCTTTTTGCATCTCTGCTTTGCAATGCTTCTTTTTTTTTTGCTTCTTTGCTGCTCTGCTGTTTTGATTCTCTGTTTTTCCCCTGCTTCTCTGCTTTCCTGCTTTTCCGTTTTTTCGCCTCTGTTTTTTCCCCAAATGGTGCCAAAAGCAGAAATGCAATGGAAAGCCTAACGTTCCCCAAACTGACCCGGAAAAAATGAAAAAAAAAAAAAACTAAAAAATACCACCCGAAAAGAAATGATTGCATTTTGAAGGTTGGTGGGTGTCAGTTTCAACAAATGAAATGGTAATGAGTAATGAGCCTAATTTCAGCCTGTTTGACCTTGTAATCTTCATTTGGACTCTGGAAACTGTACTAGAAAAGCATACGACTTTGCGGGTAAAGGCGGTAAAGATCAAATTTGATTGAAGCGAGATCTCTGCTTCATACGCCTTGGGCCTTTGATAGCTTTGATTCGACAGCTTTAGAGACTTTGCAATATTTTGATGACACGAAAGCTCGATCACAAGATTGCAAAAGCGGCGGTGGGCGCCATGCCTGGAGTACTCCGAACCATTTCCTCCATAAGAATTTCCGCCATTCTTATTTTCTCCATAGCCATAATTTCCTCCATTCTTAGCTCCATCGTAGTAAGAATTCTGCTGGTTCTGCTGGTTCTGGTGGTTCTCCCAGCCTGCACGCAGCTGTTGGGACACTCACTGTTTAAACAAGATTCCTTGAAGAAATTCTTTGTAGGATTTCTAGCTTGCTACGACCGGATCTTCTGCTGAGAAGAGATTTCAATCATTTGAATACACAATCCACCTCAGGCAGTCAGAATTAAGAGCCCCAAACCAGCAGCTCCGACAAATTGAGAGGCAGTGTCAGACCACACTCAAGATCCCTCTGAAAGGAAATTTGAATGTCAGAATGTCTGTCAACAGGATCTAGTTGGATCGATCGAGAGACCTGAGAGACCTGAAAAACCTGTAGGCTTTGGATGAAAGGGAAAAACATGAAAAAAAAACATACTAAGTTTGACGGCAGAATACGATATAGCAGTTTGCAGCATGCAAAGTATAAGATACCTTCCAAAGCATCCCCTGCAGTAGGACTCAGTAGGCCCCACAGGGTTCTCTACACAGAATCGCATCCCAGGCTGTGTGTTTCCACCTGCATTTTCATTGCCTTTGTCGCCTTTGTCGCCTTTGCCTCGCCCCTTTCCTTTCCCACTTTGCCCAGGCCCATGCCTGTACCTGAGCGTGTGCAGGAAAGGGTTGCCAAGAACGCTGGCATGTCAACGCATGACCAAAATGAGTATTCTGCTTCTTCTCAAACATAACAATTTTGACCTTTCTGACCTGGTGGAGGTATGGTCTGGATTGCAAGCAATCAGCGTGACCTGTAAAGAAAAGAAACTAGCACACAAGATAATTGGTCAGGCAAATGAGTGGCATATGGTTCGGTACGTGTGTCTCCAAGCGTTACCTGGGCATCTTCGAAAAAACTTGACAAGGAGAGTAAAAAAAACGGTAAGTGGTACAGTTCTCGCTGTCCCGTAAACTGCCGTTCCCGCCTGGCTTTGATCCATTGTTTGGACGCATCTACTTCAAAGCGTTTGCCCTGAGAGCCTTCACTGTCAAGGGCCACCGATAAGACCTGGACGCCGCACAAGGAATGTCCGGAATGTCCGGAATGTCCTGTTGAAAAAAAACTTTGGACTTAAAAATAGACTTGTGACTGCAAACCTCCTTCGAAATGAATTGTCTTGCCACACTTGACAATCAGACTATTGTTTGACCCTGACAAACATAGCATACATGATGACATTTATAGCAAGTCTGTAAAGCAAGCCTCCTAGCATGGCATCATACAGACTCGCAGTGGAAAGGGATTATTCATACGCTGGCTATACAGTACAACTTAAACATATTCTGAAATCAAATTAATCAAATATTTATGAGTGAAATATATTGTATAATCCGCCGACCCCTGCCTAGCCTTGGCCTAGGCGGGACGGCGCCCGGGGTCACCGTAGGTGTGCGGCATGGCCCTGTGCCGGCTTTGGCTTCGAAGGCTCGGAACCTTTCCAAGTTCCTCTAGCAGCTTTCGAAGGCCTCAGAACCTCACAACCTTCCGCAGCAGCTTTCGAAAGCGTCCCACTTGCTTTGCCATGGTACCTCCCTAGGCCCCACAAGCTGTTTCTATTGGGCTTCGAAACTGCTACGTGGCACGTTTTAGGCAGGCCTTAAAACCCTCAAAACCTCCGCAGCAGCTTTCGAAGGCCTCAGAACCTCACAACCGCAGCAGCTTTCGAAGGCGTCCCACTTGCTTTGCCATGGTACCTCCCTAGGCCCCACAAGCTGTTTCTATTGGGCTCGAAATTGCTACGTGGCACATTTTGGGCAGGCCTTCAAGCCTCAAAACCTCCGCAGCAGCTTTCGAAGGCCTCAGAACCTCACAACCCTCCGCAGCAGCTTTCGGCCATGGTACCTCCCTAGGCCCCACAAACTGTTTCTATTGGGCTTCGAAATTGCTACGTGGCACGTTTTGGGCAAGCCTTAAAACCCTCACAACCTCCGCAGCAGCTTGCGAAGGCCTCAGAACCTCACAACCCTCCGCAGCAGCTTTCGGTCATGGTACCTCCCTAGGCCCCACAAGCTGTTTCTATTGGGCTTCGAAAGTGGCACGTTTTCGGCAGGCCTTAAAACCTTCAAAGCCTCCGCAGCAGCTTTCGAAGGCCTCAGAACCTCACAACCCTCCACAGCAGCTTTCGGCCATGGTACCTCCCTAGGCCCCCACAAACTGTTTCTATTGGGCTTCGAAACTGCTACGTGGCACGTTTTGGGCAGGCCTGAAAACCCTCAAAACCTCCGCAGCAGCTTTCGAAGGCCTCAGAACCCTCCGCAGCAGCTTTCACAGGCGTCCCACTTGCTTTGCCATGGTACCTCCCTAGGCCCCACAAGCTGTTTCTATTGGGCTTCGAAACTGCTACGTGGCACGTTTTGGGCAGGCCTTCAAACCCTCAAAACCTCCGAACCCTCCGCAGCAGCTTTCAGCCATGTTACCTCCCTAGGCCCCACAAGCTGTTTCTATTTGGCACGTTTTGGGCAGGCCTTAAAACCCTCAAAACCTCCGCAGCAGCTTTCGAAGGCCTCAGAACCTCACAACCCTCCGCAGCAGCTTTCGGTCATGGTACCTCCCTAGGCCCCACAAGCTGTTTCTATTGGGCTTCGAAACTGCTACGTGGCACGTTTTGGGCAGGCCTTAAAACCCTCAAAACCTCCGCAGCAGCTTTCGAAGGCCTCAGAACCTCACAACCCTCCGCAGCAGCTTTCGGCCATGGTGCCTCCCTAGGCCCCACAAGCTGTTTCTATTGGGCTTCGAAAGTGGCACGTTTTCGGCAGGCCTTAAAACCTTCAAAGCCTCCGCAGCAGCTTTCGAAGGCCTGAGAACCTCACAACCCTCCGCAGCAGCTTTCGGCCATGGTACCTCCCTAGGCCCCACAAGCTGTTTCTATTGGGTTTCGAAATTGCTACGTGGCACGTTTTGGGCAGGCCTGAAAACCCTCAAAACCTCCGCAGCAGCTTTCGAAGGCCTCAGAACCTCACAACCCTCCGCGGCAGCTTTCGCAGGCATCCCGCTTGCTTTGGCCATGGTACCTCCCTAGGCCCCACAAGCTGTTTCTATTGGGCTTCGAAACTGCTACATGGCACGTTTTGGGTAAGCCTTAAAACCCTCAAAACCTCCGCAGCAGCTTTCGAAGGCCTCAGAACCTCACAACCCTCCGCAGCAGCTTTCACAGGCCCCACTTGCTTTGCCATGGTACATCCCTAGGCCCCACAATCTGTTTCTATTGGGCTTCGAAACTGCCATGTGGCACGTTTTCGGCAGGCCTTAAACCCTTCAAAACCTCCGCAGCAGCTTTCGAAGGCCTCAGAACCTCACAACCCTCCGCAACAGCTTTCGGCCATGGTGCCTCCCTAGGCCCCACGAGCTGTTTCTATTGGGCTTCGAAACTGCCACGTGGCACGTTTTCGGCAGGCCTTAAAACCTTCAAAACCTCCGCAGCAGCTTTCGAAGGCCTCAGAACCTCACAACCCTCCGCAGCAGCTTTCGGCCATGGTACCTCCCTAGGCCCCACAAGCTGTTTCTATTGGGCTTCGAAACTGCTACGTGGCACGTTTTGGGCAGGCCTGAAAACCCTCAAAACCTCCGCAGCAGCTTTCGAAGGCCTCAGAACCTCACAACCCTCCGCAGCAGCTTTCGGTCATGGTATACTAGGCACCACAACCTCTTTCTATTGGCTTCGAAACTGCTACGTGGCACGTTTTGGGCAGGCCTTAAAACCCTCAAAACCTCCGCAGCAGCTTTCGAAGGCCTCAGAACCTCACAACCCTCCGCAGCAGCTTTCGGCCATGGTGCCTCCCTAGGCCCCACAAGCTGTTTCTATTGGGCTTCGAAACTGCTACGTGGCACGTTTTCGGCAGGCCTTAAAACCTTCAAAAGCTCCGCAGCAGCTTTCCTCAGCACCTCACAACCCTCCGCAGCAGCTTTCGCAGGCGTCCCGCTTGCTTTGGCCATGGTACCTCCCTAGGCCCCACAAGCTGCTTCTATTGGGCTTCGAAACTGCCACGTGGCACGTTTTGGGCAGGCCTTAAAACCCTCCGCAGCAGCTTTCCAAGGCCCTTAAAACCTTCAAAACCTCCGCAGCAGCTTTCGAAGGCTTCAGAACCTCACAACCCTACGATGAACAGACACGGAAATCCCTGATATCAATACATTCGATTCATTGTCCCACAATCTATGTTTACACTACCTAGTCCTTCAAAAGTTCCATAATATTTGTACGCTTGGACTACTGCACGTGTGGGCCGTTTTGACGGTTCCCCGCCGCTCCGCCCTTGAAAGGGGGTCGGCGGCACCTGGGCGTTAGCCCATTTATAATACATTATATTATTATCTATATTCAAATATCTTCAGATATCATCTACATAAGCAGATCATAGTTCCCGCATCTGTCATGAGAGCCTGGCCTCATCAGGTGAGTTCTTGATCTGTCCCTTGCACTTCTGCATGAGGTCGTCCTCAAACAAAATCTCAGAAAATCCATTGCATATTCTGATTGTTCAATTCATTTTCTGGATTTCGTCTTTTCAAATGACGCAAAAGCAGAACAAAAACCAATGTGGACCCTGTGCCAAAGACGATAAAGGAAGGCTCTGCATCATGCTCTCTGAGACGCCAGCTAGAGAAACCCAACCTTCTGGCGATATCACCAGCGAATATTTGCTTGCCCTTAGGAACAAACAAAACCGAAGAACGAAAAGAACGAATGAATATTTTTCAGTAATGGCCAATAGATGTAATGAATTGACTCGCCGCTGAATGCACTCTGAGTTTCATACTCATAGCGTAAAATGCGAACCAGGGTCCTGGAAACCTCCTGCAGCAGGTTTCAAAACAAGCTGTGACTCCCTCACGTAAATTCACGACACACATCAAAGCACGTGAAATGCATACAGACGAAATAATTTCATCATTAAACATGTCAAATGTGCTACTGGTACACGGAGGAAGTTCTCAGGATGAATCCAAAGCCTCGTGAGCTGCACGCGACAACCCGCTGGAGGAATACCCGTTTTTGCCCTGCGGCGGATGTGGAACTTCCAGGAAACTGCAGCCTATGTCCTCCCAGATCCTCTCTTCACAGTCGAAGTCGTCAAAATCACACAGCATTCAGGAAAACAGGGCGTAAAGTAAAGAGTGGCAAATCTTCGGTTCCCCCTATCATTCCCCTCAACTAACTGTGAGTCTAAAACAGCCTTTCATGGTTTTGGCAGGTCTGTGTTCAAAATTGTTTCATGTTCCTTGGTCGAGAATTCAAAGCTTACGTAGAGGCTTACATTCGCTTACGTTTTCTGAGGTTTTGCTTACAGGAAAAGAAATTCAATTAATTAACTTACGCATCTCCTATGGCAAACCAATATTGGGGACATGTAGTGATCCAATTGCAAAGGAACCACCGTGGGCCAGGGGGTCAGTGAATCCAACCTTCGCTTACAACTAGCTTACGGCTTGCTTTCGCCGAGCTTGCGGCAAATTCCGATCTCATAAAACAATAGTGAAGAAAGTGGCATTCGTTCTGGCCTGCTTTCCCTATATTTACTATTGCATCATCTTCAACATTCATAACATGCACGGTTCACACAACCTTACTTGAACCCCAGCTCTCATGGCCCGACATGGTCTTCCGAACGGCTTTCGGCAATATGTTTGTGACCAATGCTTACGTCAAACCTTTCGCACTGCTTACAAAACCCAGGCAAAATCTTACGACTCGCTTGATGGATTTGTTTAATGAATTTTTGCCAGCCCAATACTAACATGTAAAATATGTAAAGGGGAATATAGAATGCTGCTATAAGTGTTTTGAGGTACTTCTCGCCTTGCCATATCCTTTAGCTCCCCGCTGGTCAAATCTCGCCATGCAGCTTGTCTCCCACCCGAAATTCTGTGTTTGGATGCTATGTGCACGGACTGGACTCATAGAGATGGTCTGGGCCCAGTAGGACACTCAATTTGCATTGATCAAGCACGCGCATGTCGCAAGTAAAAAATGATAGACTGATTTGAATTTTCATGACAGCAGTGCACAATGGTTGGATGTAAATTTCATTAAAGTGTTGTTCTGCATGTCTGGTGTCTGCTGTGCAAGACTTCAACATTGGTTCCAGGCCACAAGGTATTTTACAGCAATTCTCAACCAAGCAACTCGTTGTCTCTTGCCAATAAATGTTTGGCCAACGGATGAAGTTACACCAGAACAATCACGTCACCTGAGCAGCAAAGACTTGTAGTAAGTTGCAAGCTAATCTGGAGAAGAAAGCAAAAGATAGCAAAACCTAATCATACCACCCGAATCCGGCCGAGACTTTTTCAACTCTCAGCCAAGATTGGCCAAAGGTCCCAGGCTGCACTTCTTGCCTCGGAAGCATGTTCGCTTGTCAGCTCCTTGTCAGCTCACATGGCCACCTGGCTTGGGTGAAGCGCTCCTTCGACATGTCTGAGAGCTTCTCACTTGGTCACTTCGGGTGGACGAGAGGCACTTCTACGGGCCATTTCTTTGGGAAGGCCTGCATGATTGATACTATAGAAGTTAGCGGCGCGTCCCCTCCAATTTTGGCTGCGCCTGCTTTCACAATGCAGCACAAAGGGGAAAAAAAATAAGGTTCACTATGGCACATGGCCAGCGTTGCAAGGTGAGAGTTTTGATGAGTTTTGAAGACCACATCGGCTGTGCCCCTCAAATGGCGTGCTTAATGTGTTTGGCATGGCCGACTGCCGAACACCATAGCCGGCTCGCGCAAAACGAGCTTCAGTTTTGCGTCAGGTCCAGTTTGGGTCAGAGGGCAAGAAGAACGATGAAAAATGATGCGTTGCGTTAGCCACTAACCGCTTGTGAATCCACAGAGAGAAAGTTGTCTGCGTGCATTACTCTATCCAACCCTGCCCATTCCGAATAGCTGTTTCAACTTCTGCTTTTTTATCAAACATTGAGATCCAAAGTCTTATGGTGTCAGGTGCTTACAACCGTCTTACTCGCAGGATACTGACCTTGCCCAAAGGAACTGCAGAGGTTTACTTTTGTTTCACCAGCCCAGTCCCCATTATCTTAAAAGTTATCCTCCGACCCCAGCTGTCAACTCCTCAACACTAACTACTGGTTTTCTGTTTGTCGGTTTTTGCACACAGATTTTCGAGAAGAACGATGTTTTAAAGAAGAACGCTTGTTCGAGAAAAATGCGCAAAGTTGTTTTTAACCCCCCTAAAATGCAACCCTACCCATTCTTCTCAAAAATCATCCTTTTCACTCTTTTTGGTGAAAAACTGTTCTGCGATTTCCACAGAGAAATTTCTGGTGAGAACGATTGCTCTCGTGAGAACGATTGCCTCTCGTGAGAACGATCTTTGATTGAAATGTGCAAGAGAACGATGCCACGTCACTTCACAGGGGGGAGCTTGATCATTGTATTTTATTTTGGGCCAAACATGTCCTCAACCATGGCCCGTGAGAACGATGAGTGACTTAACATGCATTTTCCCAGTGAGAATGGGTAATCACAGCTTAGAATTACGTTCAAGCGCCAGCACCGCTAGGTGCTCACCGCCTTCTTGACAGAGAATCAGTGAGGGGGCTGCGTGTCTATCTGTGCTTCAACCTCACAACACTTAGGCTGAGCCTGCTTAGATAGATTCAGATTGGAGCACTTGCGCTTTGCAAGGGTGTGGCTGCAATCCACGGTGCTTTGCCTTCCATGTATCTGTAAAGTTTTCTGGGCCTGTGGAACCAGTTTAACACGAAAGCATCCGTTTGGACAAGATTGCGGGAAGGAACTTTCAAGCATGCCTTCAAAGCACGGGAGGCGTTTCACTGAATCATCGTGGATGGTCTTGTAGCCCCTTGTAGCCCCACCCACACCTGGTAAATCTTTTTCCATGCAGTAAGGATGATCTAAGAGCAGAGTCAAGACTACAGTGGCTATGTCAAAACCATCGTGGCAGTTGCTCTGCGGGTAAACCCGAGACACCGATAGCAACTAACTGCCATTGGCCTCTCTGCCACTCCGCATCTGGAGGCTGGGGCCTTGGAACGATGTGACTGTGATGTCACTGTCCTTTTCTTTAAGGATTGTAGACTCTGTAGACTCACTGTAGACCTTTGTAAATAGTTTTAAAAGCAGTTTTGAGGTGTTGGGCATAGGTTTCACACCTTTAACACTGCACTCAAGAGAAGTGGCAAAGTTTCACACCTCAGCGGCCCAGCTCGCACTACTGGCACATCGCTCTCGGCACGGCAGCTACATCTAAGTTGCCGAGGCGGCCTCAGGAATCCTTCAATTAATTTCACCTACCAGCAAAACAAGAGAAGAGTACACCTGAACAAACCTTCCGCCTCAAAAAGCGGTTTCTGTCGCTGATGCTTCCATCATGACCCGGGCAAGGCGCAATCAATACAGCTACGGAAATTCAAATTGCAAGCACTGTGAATGAGGTTCCCTTTGAATCTCTTTGACAGACAGCATGCTGCTGAAGCTGCATGTTCGCGGAGGGCCTTAGACAGCCCCTTGAGTTCAAGTGCAGGTAGCCAGCTCTGTGCACCACAGAGGCCTTCATTTGCCTTCTCCAGACCGTGCTCAGCCTGGGATTGAGAAACAACTCTTGGCAGGGGCCTGCCCTGAAAGCATTGTGCACAAGAGGAAAGTTACTAGGATTCGGACAAGCACTCGCTCAAAAGGCTCTCAAATACAACGCACTACCATCTGCCCTTATGGCCTAACACCTAAAGACATGAACCTCAAGCTTGTGGAAGGGCATTGCAAGGCCTCAAGTTTCAAGGCGCCAAAGTCTGGGCCAGCATCCCGGCCACTATTGACTGGTGGTTGCTGTGGACTTGTGAGCCCGACATGGCCCGACACAACCCAGAAGCAATACCACCCCTTTTGGGGACATTTCTGGCTGGATTGCAGCAAGCCCAGACTCGAAAAAACAAATCTGACTGTTCCGGCAAGCCTTTGCGAGGCTGTCTGCCTACCGTTCAAACACCAGTGCCTCCATGTCCATTCTCCTGCAGCTCCAGCTCCAGCTCCCGCAGCTTGGAAGCGGCAGCAAGCTACACCTAAAGTTGACGAGCTGATGCGCCTCCAGTGTCAGGGACAAGCATTGCCGTACAACAAGCATCCAGGAGCCCTGGCTTGCGGACCCCAAGCTAAGTTTCAACACACAGCAGCCCCACTGCATCAAGCGTGATCAATGACCCTGTGGGTAAACCCTTAAGCCTGTCACAAAAGTGATCTTCCCCCCCTGGGCTTGTGCGCGCAAAGCTGTCTCTTGTCTCTTTCAGTGTGGAACTGGCCTCTCACGCCAAAATCCATGCTTGACACAGCTTAGCAATCGCTCAAAACACCTTCGCATGCAAGGCTTGGAGTGGCACGAATTTACTTTATGCTCTGCGGCTGCCTGTGCTTGCCCGTGCGCGGCCTGCTGCGATAATATTCCGCAGCGATGTCTCCGCAAGAATGAGTCACGCTTTGCTTTGGTCACCTCTGCAACTCATAGCGTGGGGGTTATGGCGGCGCGCAAACAAACCCAACACAAGCGACAATCATTGAGACCTTCGACCAACAAATTGCTCGTAGATGCTAGTGGCCTCTTTCTGGCAGCATCCAGTCCAGAAACTACAACAATCAAGTGTTCGGAAGGAAAAGAAGACTAACAAACGGCGTGACCGACGACCCTCAACACAGAACCCAGTAGGAGGTTTGCCAATTTCACAGATCCTTCGGTCCACACTTACAGGCTCCTCTAAAACATCCACTTGGAGATGTCTACGTGCTGCATCACAGCGCAAACAATCACAGGGTCGGCAGGGTTCCATCCATAGCCCATTGCACAAGCGTATGACATGATGGGGCGCTCCATGTAGCACACCCTGAGCAATGGTCATTACACCAGAAACTCTTATAAGGTCAGTTGGTAATCTGCACAAAGAAACAGTGAGGAAACGAAGCACTTGCAACTGGCCATCCCAGTACAGGAAAACAAACTTCGGGCAACTCGCCAGTGGAAGCCACAGCAGTCGCGCCGCAGATATAGACATGCCATCAAGAGATCACTGAGATCACGGATGTGGATCCTGCCTTGGGCTCTGAAACTCACCGGCCCTGGATGGTCTCATGATTCCCGACCATTTGCAAAGCCGGCAGATTGTGAGAAGCTGCAGCGCAGTCTGTAAAGCAGGTGCCCTAGCTTTGACTGATACGCACTTCCTGTATGCTAGGCTCCAACGGCCTTACTGGTCGGACATGGTTTGGATAGATTTGCACGGACCATCCACGGTTCCAAAAAGCACTTGTCAGTGGAGTCACATCAAGCCCCTCCACTTGAAGAACATTTCTGATGTGCACCATGGTTGGAAATCTCTCGACAAGACAAAGCACGGAAGTCTTCAAAACACGCCACAATCCACAAGAAACGGGCGTATCTATCTTTGATCTGACGATGCCAAACTTCATGGGTGGCTCCGGGTTTCTCGCTCTGTGGCTGTGCGCACCTGTAACCTTAATGCGCGAGACAAATTAGATATGTGTGTGGCAATGTGGGCCGG